CATGCAGCAAATTCCCTCCAACAATTTCTTTGATTAAAGAGGTGGATGTCATGTAGCGGAAATTGGCGTCACTTGCCGTTTGCGTAGCCCGTGGATCATATCTTAGAACGAAATATTTCCTACCATGCCTTCAATTTCACGAACAAATCTCATCCAACCATGCCTTCCATTTCGGTAACCGAACTCGTTCAGGTTTACCAGAGTTTTAGGGTGACCATGTAGTGCTGTGTTGTACAGCCTTCTCGAGCTCGACTTTGTGGGCGCAATAGGTGTGCTGTGCATTCTTTGAGTTTTTAGAGCCGCGCCTACTATTATGATAGGGAACTATTGAATTCATCAATCTGTGGTGAGCTCTATTTGAGGCCACTGGCCTGCTATGTGACCAGCATCTATTGTTATAATTTATAATTTTTACGACTGCTTTTTCATTGTGATTTTTAGGAATCCTCTTATCAGTCGTTTACCTTTGTTTTGTTAAGTATTTTCATTGTTTTTAAGGTTGTTACACCCGTTTTTACCTTATTCCAATAGAATAAATTTGATAAAGTTCTTCCCACGTTCTGCTTCTGTATCATTCCGCTCACTGATTGTTTTCAAGGTCGTCATGGATGCCACCATTGCTATGTGAGACCTCGGCTACTGTGTTGGGGGTGCGGTGGACGAATGGGGGGGGGGGCGTGATGGTCAAAGCCAAACGGAGTGGGAGACTCATATCTACCGAAATATTATCGTGTTTCTGAAAGCATCAGAAGTCGAACTTTCTGGCATTATCGACATCAACCATCGGGGATGGAGGGGGCTAGGGGTAGAAGAGTGAGAAATTAGAGCGCTATTGCAATGTATGTATTAGGTTGTCCCAAAAGTTCGTGCCATCGAACATTTTTTTGAGTTAACGTTATCTCAACAAAAAGCAATATCCATCATCAACATGTGGACCGTTGCTATCAGTGACTTGTTGCCAACGATCCACCAGAGTGTCGACGCCGTGCTCCTAGAAGTTCGGCAGTTTCAAGCTGGAAAAGGCAGTGAGATTTCGAGCTCCTTTTTTGAATCGTATTTTTCGTCAGTAAGATGATTACTTAGCAAGATGAATAGTTGGCCTTTGGAGGAGGCTGATCACCGCTGTACGATGGATCTGGCACTTCTCAACTAAGCTTCGAAATCCAGAGCCGTGCCATTTTCGAAACACGTGGTCTCGGTTGTCGCGGAGCGGACGTACTTTATTAAATTTTGGGCGTAATAGTTGGAGTTTTCTGACCAGCTTCCAGCCTTGATTGAAGGAGACCTAGGCTGTTACAAGGCCGAAGCTGTGGAGAAGTTCTCGGTGGCTTCTTCGAGATTTGCTCCCACTTGGGCCAACACGTTTTGCTGTAT